TTACTTCTCTTGAGAATGATAACAGAGAATTTTACGATTTGTGCTATTAAAAGTATCACAGAAAACTACCAGCTATATTATTCTAAATGAAGCAAAGCTTACTTATAACTAGCTAAAATTTCGGAATCATGAATTGCTTTCTTACATGGGTAATATTTAACATATCACATATCATTCAAAATCAAACTGAATTCATTAAAACAAGAAGAAACACCAGTGAAAAGACAATATTAAGCACAAAAGGTTAAAACAATAAATTAAGCAAAACTAAACTACTTTACTAAAACAAAACACATAAACAATATACTTTCTTAATAGAAAATTCTAGTAATTTTCATACTGTGTACAGATAAGTGATCTCGAGGCTAAATTTAAAAAATAACACACTGCATGCGGGGAAACATGATTTTCGTTTTTTTGCAGTCTATCACTAGAGCACGGGTCACGTAAATGTACGTTTTTAGTAAATTTGTGCTGGAGACTTTGTATCGTATAAATAGGATGGACATCATACATGTGTATCAATTTATTGTGATTTTATGACAAACTCCCGCGAAATTCACGAAAAATGCTTGCTACGTGCGTTAAGTCTTCGGTGAAATATACCTGCATGCAATGTGATAATATAGCACAGCTACATTTATACACAACTGTATAGCATATTTAGGTTATGAAATTTAAATTACAAAGCACTGCTTTTAGTATAATAAGCAACCCCACATATCTTTTAAAAAGTTATTAATAATAATAAAAGAATATTTGGCTGTATAATTTATTTTCTTAATTTTTAATACACTTGAAAGAGAAACACACAAAAATTTAAACTAGGCAAATCAGAAACACCAATTTAGCACAGATTTTAAATACGATCATACACAGGTCACTCTTCTTTGGAAAGGGGCACTACAGCAAACTTCTTTTGCTTTCTTTCTCAATTTTAAACTTTTCAATACATTTTTTTAAATAAAGCCAATATAAAAATAACTACTAAATATGCATGAGGGAAAGGTTTAAAAAAGAGAGAGAACTCAATGTACCTTTTAAATGATCTCTTCAAAATTCAACAGCATTTTTAAATTAATCAAATCTCCTGATATCCAATAACTTTTCTATCCAACAGAATATCCATGACATGAATAATATTCATTTAAATGAAAAAAATTCAAGTAATTTCAATATAGTCCACAGCTATTAGATGATCTAAACACATACTAATAAGTCTCAGCAAAGTTTCCAAAACTAATATACATATTTAAAAACATTTCAATAATTTACAAATGATATCAAAATGAATATTTTGACATTTTTTACATTATTCAAATAGTTTCTATGCATAAGAAACCAATATTTCAAGTGAAAGATGATAAACTAATCATTAAAAAGTGGCACACGTTTTGATTAAAACAGTATATAAAATGCTTCTCTTTGCAAAATACAAAATCTCTGTAACATAGCTGCCAACCTTGAAGTATGAAAAACTGGGAATTTCTATGACATTTTCAAGATGCACAGCAGCACCATTTTGACAGAACTCCAGCTGACTTAAATTCACATTATAATGCATGAATCAGATTATTCAACTATTTATTATATGATTCAGATACAACATATATTACATCAGATATTTTCAATTTTATGATTTTTGAATCATTTCATTTTATAGACACTTTCCTCTATACTTTAAAATACTGAGACAATTCGAGTAGGAAAGGGAAGCTTTAATTTGCCAATGTATTTTTAAACACGTTGAAATTAAAGTGTACAACCTATTACACATGTTAAAAATAAAGTGTACAGCCTATTGCGTGGAAAAATTTAGTACCATATACTAATGTAAGAAAAAATTATTAACTGATTAAACATTGTTGGAATCTCCCTGCGCTTTTCTAAAAAGGTCTATTAATTTAATTAGAAAAATAATCCTGAAAATTCACTAGGGATGGGAGAGTAAAATTTGAAAATTTAATGTTTCATTTACTAAAAAACAGGAAATTCAATGACCAATTGAGAGATAAAATGAAAAAATCTGATGTGTGTACACCACATGACTTCCTTGTATGGAATATTAAATTATACGCATTTTTTCTTGCATTTCATTTAAACTTATTGAATTGAATTAAATCTGCTTTGTCAAGCGCATAAACCACAACAGAATAAATGCATTCTTTAAAATTCAATATATCTGTTTACCATAGCAACACTCTGGTGCTAGGTTCACTTAACAGCATTATATTTCGTTCATATTATAACTCAGAATGCACAAAATTTATATCATTTGAAGTATTATCTAATCGTTGCCACATGTTCTATTCAAGTACTATAATAAATCTAGAATGATGCATAAAAGAAATTAAGCAAACAAAACAAAAAAGAAACAGTTTTTCACAGACGGTTTAGTATTTCTCATTCAATTAATTCAGTTCTCACTTTGCAACAAGGCAAAAATACATAAAAACTCAAAATATCTATTATTAAAAATTACGAAGTAAATCTTAAACACTTATTTCCTCGAAAAAATTTCAGAAAGGATTAAGCATGATTTAATTTGTAATAATAAATGAAGGCATTATCTTCGTTGTTGCGAAGCTTAGTCTCGCTACATTGGCAACAAATCTACTATTCTGCTGTTTCAAATGTAAACAAATGTTATTTAAAAATTAGGCTAAACAGCTTTTAAGTTGTTGATAATTGTACAAATATTGCTTGCAGATATACTAAAGGCATTAAAACCTTAACCGGAAGATAAGAACAACATAATTCAATCATTTTTAAAGCAAAAAATGCACAATTTACAAACATATAACAGCAAAGAAACTGAGATCACTGAGCCGGATAGCAAAGTGGATATATATAAATATATTTATATACGCTTGGTGCGGCCGATTGCAACCAAAATACGAGGTGCACATCTACATCTTATAGCAGTCCTATATACATAATTTAAACGTTCTGAGGCTACTCGTTTTTGAGTTATGCGAGGTACATACAGATGCCACAAAATATTCTCTTCAGAACTCATTTTAAAGCAGTTTTATAATTTTTTGGAGGAAAGGAGTCTTTTATTCTGTTCTTACGTACAGAAGTCATGCAAAAGCATCGTTAAATTGCATTCAATAGCGGTCAAAATGGATATTTTTGTTGAAATATGCTGACTGAAAATTTTCCTGATTAAAGTACTTCCTCTTTACTTCGTACAAGGAAGTAAAAAAGCAAGCTTTATGAGTGAAAGCAGGAGAGTTAGTAGCTATGCTATAACTTAACTTAGGTTAACTGAATATGGCAAAGCTTATGAGGGAAGGGATGCCGAACTATGGGGAGCTTTCTAGGGTAAAATGGCTCATACTCACATTACACATGGGTAAATCCATTAAAACCAATCATGTAGCTGGCCTGTTCACCTGGGACTGAACTCCCGACATTCAACAGCCTTAAACACTAGGCCACTATGCTACAGGATTAAAATACAATTTTCCATTTTATTGTTTGGCCTAAGATCACAAATAATCAGTCTAAAAGTTCATATATAAATAGGATTACAAGCATAGGTTAAAAGATCAAACATAAATAAGATTAAAAATAATTAAAATAGTCAAATGTTCACAACTTTATTCAGCATTTTGAAATTTCTTCTCACTATGAATGCACATAATCTCAAAAGTAATATGCCTTTCAGATAGAGCCATACATATTACATGATATGCACACATGCCACCAAAAGAACCGATTTCATTAGCATGCCCATACACAATACTCATGTGGAACCTAGCATGTTTGTGTTAATACCTTGTATAGCTCCCATGTGTTACAGTAGTTGGCCACCTAATGCAGCATATCGTCAAATTCTACTGTCATGCAGTGTGCAGATATAGCGTACTGTCATACAGCCTTACATGTTTGTTGGCATAGGTCGAACACATTGTTTGATGGTTGTGAAAGATGATAGCTCTGTCTTCCCATATGATTCTGCTCATGCTCAAATGAAAATAAATCTGATGATCTATGAGGCAAGACATCCCCAAACTATTGAGCAGTAACATCTGCATATCTGGTAAGTACTTGCACATAGTATTGCTAAAATACTTTACCTTGGACAGTAATCATAAAAGTGATTACGATGGGCCTAACCACCTTATTTGCAAATAGCTGGTCAGTTAGACTGCCCAGTTAAATTACTGTAGCACAGCAAAAGTTATAAGATGTAACATTTTATACCATAACATAACATGAAGGCCTTGCATTATGTTAAGATAGATGTGGAACCTGAAACTTTTTATTAAAGTCACTGTATGAGTATTCAACCATCACCAATGCCAACAAATGTACAAAAGTCATAAAATTATATTAGAAGAATGCAATTTTTTGTACTTAATACTTCCCTTCCCCAAATCAGTGTTTCGAAAAGTGATACGATTAGGCACTAAAATCACATTTTGAACATTACTTTTAACTACGTGTACAGTAGTATTTTCTGCAACGGATGATAAATTATTTAAGGCAGCTGTAAATTTTCACAATATATACAGGATTACTGGCAAACCACTAACTACATGCAATCACTAAACTTAATCAGTTTAAGTTAATCATCCAACTTAAGTTAATGTAAATTATGCACATATAAAACTTCTATTATTTTATTGCTTAATTATGTTAGTTTAAGAGAAAGAGATAAACAGTTATTGAGAATGTAAGTGTAGTTTCAGAAATACTTAAAGTTGGTTATTTAAATGACTTTTTTATATATACATAGTTTCAATAAATATTTTTATAATTTCTTATGTTATTCTGGTGATAGCATCACCAAAAGGAAAGTGACATATAAAACTAATGAGTATTCACCAAACTGTATTATGCTAATGCATATTTATGTTCATAGCTACTGTATAGAAGTGAATATGCTCTAATCATCCCATTTATGTAGTGTTTAGGTAAATAAGGAAATGTGCCATGAAATGGCGATGACCTAAAAAATGATAAAAGAAAAATAATGTATCCAAGAAATCTAACTAGCAACTTTGAATTTATTATTCATATCATATTCTTACTTTAATATAATATGCTTTTGCTCCTTGAAGAAAAGACCATGTCAGTTTTCCTATAAAATCCACAATGATCTAAGGTTGAATTTTGCTTTATTTTAACCCATAAATGACATTGTTATTTAACATAAGTATTTTTTGTAAACAAGTTTATGGATTTGAAATAACTCAGTCATTTTTTATACTGTCAATATCTGTTACTGTGAAAAACACAGATTTCCATAAAATGGAAAATGAGGAATTACAAAGCATCTTTCAATGAATACTAATTTAAACACTTTTACAAAGAGTAGGTATTAAGAAATATATTCTTAAAATTAGGCTAGGAAATATACAGAATTTCATAAATTCAAACTACTATGCTTCAACAGTGAGCAAATTACTACAAATCAATAAATTTTATGCTTATAGTTCCAAAGATATTCTTAAAAAGTAACGGTTTTCATTCAAATCGCTTTTTATCTACAATAATTTAGTAATAGAGATAAAATGCATAAAAAATAAAAATTATACATGATTAATTTAAATTTCATTTAAGCCTATTACTAAGTATTTTATTTAAACAAGCCATGATTTCAAAATTAGATACCATATTTTCATAAATACAGTGTTCAGATACATAATTTTAGTGATACCAGATTTTTTTTTTTTTATAAACACATACTTACAAGTTCATAGTTAAATATAACATCACATTTACAAGAAGTCTATTGATTATTTATTTCTTCCAAAACCTTAATTTTTTTACAGAAATATGATTCTATTAACCATCTAATAAATTTCAAATAAGGAAAACCTTATTTTCTGCATACATAAATACCAAATAATATACAAAATTAGCCAATCCATAAACAAAACCTTTCACATAAAATTTACTTTTCCTCGAAATATGATATGTTCTCGACTTTTTAAAAATAATATATATACATATATACAAAATTAAATATTTATCACAAACTGTAGCACAAAAAGAAAAATCACAGATTTTGCTTTACAATTGCACCTTTATGAACTGTTTTGATTATCTTCACTTGTTGTCATCACTTCAGTACTGAAGCTCTCTGGATCATCAAATGGTTCTATGTGAGCTATAACTAAAGAATCTGAATTGCCTGAATGTAACTGGCTTCCTTCATTATCTTCTTGAAGTACACCACAATCTAAGGAAGAACTGCCAGTCACATCCTGTTCCACAAAATTTACATTGTCTAATTCTGCATTTTCTTGAACACTTTCATCATTCTGCTCAGTTGATGATGGAAGCACTAAAGCAGTTGTACCATCTTGCTGCTGAATAGCAAGATAATATGGTTCATTTTCATTTTCATGACCTGTGGGTAGCTGAATAGTAATGGTTTGCGTGCCATCAGCAGATGGTGAGAATGGTGGTATGTTTACAGTTACACCTGGAGGGAGATTTAGAGTACCTCCATCTTGACTCAATGCATTGAGGCAAGAACAAACTAACTGAGCTGCATTTAAATCTAAAATACCTTCCAGTTGTTGCATTGTGTTGTCTGACAGTTGCATTTGTATTGGAGACTGATCAGATACTGAAAGCGATTCTAGAGGCATTTCAGAATCTGATGTAATATTAGTTGAACTCTGTACAAGTGTTTCTGCTTGTCGTTTGTGGTCTGACATGTGATTCACATAATTTTCCTTACTTACTGATTTAAATGTGCAGATAGTACAAGAAAATAATCCTTCCATTCCTGGATGCTTATTTCTTAAATGAGTTTTATATGATATAGCCTATAAAATTAAGAATATTGTTAGTACTCTCTCCACATCAAAACAAAATAATAGAAAATCAAGAATAGAAATAATAATACACTCGAACTTCTTTGCAAACCATACAGAAAATAACAAAAATTCACTATAAAAAAATACCTGAAAAAGACAAGGAGTTAATCAAAATATTGAAGCATACTTTGCTGTCTACTATAAAACTTTTATTTTTTATTGTCTAGACATCAAATGAAAGGTTTATGACCAAAATGACTTTTAAATTTTTTTAATGTTATAATTTTTAAGTCTCTAAACTAGTTTTTTAAACTAGTAAATTTTTATTACCATACTGCATTAGCATCAAACTTTTCTTACTCTTACTGAGACAATATATTTTAATATTTGAACTGAAGTAGTTGCCCACTAATATGTAAATGTTGAGCTTTTATTGTTATCAATAAAAAATGCAAGCACTTCAACATCAAGATTCAAGGTGAAAGAAGTTTCTTGAATTAACTACTATTGATTTAAAAAGTTTCTTAAGATTTTTTCCTCGTGAATTATCGATAATGAACTTCGAGAAAATCCATTATCTGTTATTTCACACTTCCATGTTACATTGCTTTTGCAACATCTTAAACAGGGTGTCATTTTTTTTTTTTTTTTAACAAACTACATGCTTACATTTTTGTGGCATCTTTCCTTTAAAATTAACTTTTAGCATATAATTCTGATAATCAATAATAAAAATGAAGCTCCAAGTAAGGGTTACTAGATGTGCAAATAAGAAAAATGTAAACCTTTATCTATTCATCATGAAGAGCAAGCTAATGATGAGAATATAACCATCTTTGACACTTATCTAATGCTTAAAAAATTTTGTATATTCTTATAATAGTATACCACCATGCTCCTCTTTGTAAGCAAAGATAACTACCTCCTTCCAATATATAGTATAAGATATGATGGGAAATGGAAAAAGTAGAACTGCTGTTAGGAATTTACAAACATGTATACACTGCCAGTTCGATCTTGAGACATAAAGAACACACATGAAAAAATAATACATATATTCATATAATGTCTGTACGTTTTTTCCACAAATTTCAGTGCAAATTTTCACACTGAACAGGCCTTTCAGTTCTTAAGTTGATACCTTGCACTAAATCTTTCCCCAGAAAACACATCACACTTGAAGAAAAAAAATATGCACAAAAGCAAATGGACATGTTTTAACAAACATATTCAAAACTCTTTGTATAATAGATAAACTGAAGTAATTTCTAAATTCCATAAAGTTTGAAACAAAAATGAAATTTAGAAATTAAGTTTAGAACTCATTTATTAAAAAACAAGACTATACAAATCAACAACATTAATTTTTCTAACAATAAACGACAAACTACTGTTGCCATACAATATTTCTTTCTTGGGGGGTTCTCGCAATACAAAATAAGAACATAAGTCTTACATATATAACTAGACCCATATAATATTTAGTTTTTTTTTTTTTTTTTTTTTTTCCCATATGGCAGAAAGCACATACAAATAGCAGCAGGGTTTTTAGTCCAAATGGACTTTTTTCCTGAGGGACTATTGTTTTCATTTTTCGATACTGCGTTGAAAACTTTAAAAGGCTGTATCACTTTTCAAATCGCTGCCACCAAATACTATCGCCCTGTATTATATTTGAAGAAATTAAATAATGAAGAATCTGCATAAATGTATGTATGTTTCTCGCATTATGATAAAACTGTAGAGCCATTCAACTTTGAATGACTTAATCCTACTTCGAATAAGGGCAGGGGCGTAGCTATAGGGGGACAGGGGGCATCTGTCCCCGGGCGCAGAATCCAAGGGGCACCAAACTGATGTTACGACATTTTAGAATTAAATGTTTTCCATCCTTGGCAAGCAGTAGGGGGCGCGAAATCTTCAGTTGTCCCTGGGCGCTGAAAACCCTAGCTACGACTCTGAATAAGGGCATCTGAAAGCCCAAATTTGAAATTTGTTTTATTATCGATTTCATATTAATAATTTCATTCTTAATGATAGTTTATACATGACTTTCTTTGCCTTTTAAATTTGTTCGTCATCCAAGAAAATTCGGTGTCTCAGATCTCCATGTATTGAACCCAGCAAGACCGCATTGTCTAGCAAACTAGTTTCTCCTTTCTTCATTGAAGAAATGATTCCTTCTGCAATAAACCCTCCATTTCAGAAAGAACAAACATCTCATTGTTGCCTCTTGTGTCAATTCTTTAGATTGCAGCTTTTTTGTGGCTATATACAGTATAGAAAGAAGAGTTTGCAATTCTGCAAGATCATTCCACAGCCTTTCTGTTAGTGAAACATTGGTTACAGCCGAAAATATCGTGGCAAAAGCAACGCGTATGAAAGCATCGCGGAGAAAACAACGTAAGGCGAAAATGTCGTGCTACAAAACATCGTGGTTTGCACACCTGCTTGAGTTAAGCATAACACTATCTGCCATTGTAAAAATATGTGAATACCAGCTATAAAGATTTTGTTTTTTTCTCCAATTTTTTCCTCTTATAAAATGCTTTACTTATTTATTAACAGACAATGAGCATAGACAATGAATGAATTTTTTTAGAGATATTGAAAAGGAATGGTAATTAACATCATTATATACAGGAATTTGATTTTTTAGTTGTTTAGTATTTGTAAACATGTACAATTTAAATGAGTTTACATTTGAAAGAGAAAGCATATTAGATGCAGAATTTATAAAAATTTTAATTTTTACAGCCCATGTACGAGCTTATTTTAAAGTTACACTACTTATGTTATATTCATATCATTAATTACCAAAAATACTGATCATCGTAATTTCAAAATATAACATCAATAAATAAATTTTGAAAAAGTTTCAATAAAATTATGTTTCCAGTTTAATACTATCAATTATAATCTCAGTAATTATATAAATAATTTTTAAGTTGAATACAATATGAAAAACTGGTTTAATATAAAAATTTACAAGGAATAAGATGGATAACAAAAACTTCACATACCTGTATACAAGCATAAGGACAATGAGGACATTTGTAAGGCTTGGCTCCAGTATGCCTCATTCGGTGTCGCCTCAAAGAATTGTGGTCTCCAGTACGATAGTCGCAGTGTTCACATAAAAATGGCTTCTCGCCAGTGTGCTGCCGCATATGCAGCTCTAACATAGCTTTACGCGCACTAAGATGACCACAATAAGAACAAATGTATGGTTTTAATTTACTGTGAACAGCTTGTTGGTGCTTCCTAAGACATTTGGCATCTGAAAATTTACGGCCACATGTATCACATTGTTGCTCACTATACCATCGCTTCTCAGGCAGATTTTTACGATCTAAGTGAATCACTAAGTGATTACGTAGCTGACTGATTTGTTTAAATCCTTTATGGCATGTTGGACAAACAAAAGCTCTTTCATCACTGTGAATTTTCTGTAACATAAAAAATTGTCCTATATTGTAATGATTTTATATTAAAATTTTATGAAAATGTGTGAACATGAAATACCATGTATTGAAAGGATTTTTAATAAAACTATGTATCCAGTTTTACAAGTAAATAGATCTAAAATATTCAAGTTTCATTCACATATAGTATTTACATGAAATTCCAATAAAAATACAAAAACTCTTGCTATTCAAAATACAACGAAATGTTAATACTATTTGCATTCTTGTGAAATGTTAAAACACCTGTTCTTATTAATTTGACCTAAAAATATTCCTCTTAAAGTTACTGATGTTAACCTAAACCACGCAGACATTAACAATGGTACTGTGTACCCCTACAGTCCTTCAAGTTAATGAATAATTTTACATGAGGGTTTGCTATAATCCACAGCCAAGCAGCATCTTGCATGGGTATGTTTTGTAAGGTCATTATAGTTAAGGTGACCAGACGTCCCTATTTAGGCGGGACAGTCCAGATCTCAGATTTCATGCCCCGAGGTCCTTCACTTGTCTCGGTGGGATGCCTGTTTGTCCCACTTTTCTACAAAAGACACTCTTAAGGTCAATAAACTCGAATTGGGCGCATTGGTGGCGCCTCGCTGATGCTTGCTTCGGATAAAGCTGTGATGTTATCACTCAGAAACGCGGGCGGCGACCGCGTTGGTGGCGCAAATAAACTGCATGTGCAAAATATTTCTCGCCAAAGCTCCAAGCCGGCGTTGAAGTTCGAAGGTCACGTTTATCGAGTCCATAAAACGAATATTGTTTTAAATTTCTTTAAACTTTTAAAAAAAAGAAAATATTTTTTCGTGCAAGTAAATTAATTAATGGATTAGTTATTTTAAGCAAAAAAAAAGTGTGAAAATCCAAGTTTAAATTATCACGAAAAGTCAAAGAAATGTTTTATCAAAGAACGTTTATTCTAACACCGTGTTCCTCAATTTCCTATAAACATTGTGGAGGGGTAATTCTCGCCGCTAGGTTCCGTGGCCAAATCTCCTGGCAAAATTTCCCTCCGCTTCCCAGCGATGTAATAGCAAACTGGTTTACATTATGTTCTATGGAACCTTTCCTTCTTTACATAGATGTTCTTTGGCTAAGGTGGTTTGTGCGCATGATTATCGTGTTTCGGTGGTTATTTATTTTTTCCTCGTGTTAGTGACATGACCTGAGTCTCCATTGAGCATCAGTCAAGCCAAAACGTCAAAATTCAACGAGGAATTACAAGGCGAGTTTCCATTCATAAAGAAGGTTAGAAGCAACACCGATAATGACACGAGGCGCGACAAATGTGCATCACATTTCTCTGTCACTCACAGCAGCCGTAGAGATATAAATGAAGCATTTGAATACGGATGGATCGTCACAAAATTGCCCTGACGACATCGCCAGGTACAATTACGAACTATTTTTCAAGATCTGAATTAGGTGAAAAGGAAGCTCGGTTGGCTGCTACAGAAGGTACCGTTGCGTACCACATGATTTATCACAATCACAACTTTAGGTTAATGGATTGTACTTCCAAATTAATGCAAAAGTGGTTTTAATCTGAAATTCACTTTTGCACGAACAAAATGTCAAGCCATTGTCCCGAATGTACTTTGTCCATATGTAATGAACCAAGTCAAGGCAGAATTAAATGTCACCAATTTTGTGGCAGCGTCTACAAACACGTTGAACCATAAGGACGTCAAGCTATTTACTGTGATAGTGAGATATTTTGTGCCACTGTCAGGTGTGAAAGTTAAAATCCTGGACATGCAATCTCTTTCTGGAGAAACAGCACAGACGATTTGCAATTTTCTTGTAAATGCATTACAATGGCATGGTCTGACAAAAAAGGTCATTGGCTTCTGCGCAGACAACGCTAACACGAATTTTGGAGGATTAAAAGGAAGAGGTAGAAACAACATTTTTGCAATATTACAAGATGCCCTCGGGAGGAAACTGCTAGGTACTGGTTGTGCTGCTCATATCGTCCACAACGCAATCCAAACAGCAGGAGATTGCTTGCAAATTGATATGGAAGCAGTTATTACGAAAATTTATTGTTATTTCTATATCTAAACTGTTCGTGTTGAGTCATTCAAAGAATTTTGCGACTTGTGTCTCCAGCACGTTTTAGGATATGGGAAAACTAGATGGTTATCACTGAGGCCTGCAGTAGAGAGAGCTTTAAAATTGTTTCCTTCACCGAAATCTTATTTTTTCTTGTTGGAAGGGAAGTGCCCCACCCTAATCCGCAACTTTTTTGAGAATCTCTGTGCCGAATTGTGGCTCTATTTCGTACATAATATCGCTGTGGTATTTCAAGCGGCAATTCTGCACATAGAAGCACAGACTGTAACAGCATTGGAAGTATCTTCTGAACTGGATGATTTAATACATAATGTACTGAGAGAAACAAAAAAAGAAACTTTTTGCCAAATGAAGTACGTATGCTGATTACCCAATTAGAAGAGGAAGGATTGGCGAGAAAAAATGACATTATAAGAACCATTGTATAAATTTTTACGACAACTGTGCTGGATATCTGAAAGAGAAAGTAATCACCAAGTAATGCATTATGTCACCAAGTATGCAACCAAGAATTTCGATAAATAATTACACCATAATAAATAATACAGAGTTCAGCTTTAGAAATTTGATGGTCATCTTTGTGGTTACTGCTTATCAACTGATTGTTATAAAAGCTTTTTTTTTTTTTTTTTAAGCAATTTTCTGATGTTTTCTTATGTTACAACAGGTGGATGTGTATATGGAAGAAGAGCATGAAAGTAGTTTTAGGTGATTGTGATAATAGCTTTTTCTGAATTTGTGCAATTCTCTGATTTACAGGTTAAAACAGGTTGATATGTACATTGTAGAAGGGGAAAGATAAGTGCTTTATTATGGATGCTTCATGTGTTTTTAATTTAGTTAAATTTGTTGCTGTTTTTAATTTTCAGCATTATTTATGGATAATTAAGTAAAGTTTCTTTAAAGTAAAGTTAAGTAATTTTCAATCTTTCATTCTGGATATTCCTTGTTTTTTTAACTTCATTAAATTGATGCAGTTTTATATAATTTTCACTGTGTCACCTTTTTTAAAATCTTGATGCCTGAAATGGGCGAGAAATTAGTTGTGAATGACTGGCGACTTTGTATGAGGGTTGTGTGGTTAACCAAAGAATACCATATTTTTTCATGAGGATTATGCCATCTTAAATGATTTTGGGTCCATAAGTTTCACTTTATGTTAAAGTTCTGGTTTTTGCGATTTTTATTTGATTTAATACTGAAAAAATTATTTTTCTTTATTATTACTATTTATTTATACTCCATACCTGCGTTCATTAACATAATTTGAAAAAAATTAACTCTACAAAATATTTGTTAACTATGGCAAAATCTTAAATTTTTGTTACACTTACTGTTTTTTACCTACTTCATTAACTGTCAAAGGTAGAAAATGCCTTCAGAGGGCAGTAATGTACCAAAAGAGGGGGGGGAAATCCAGTAAGTATGTTCCTGCCTTTGTGGCGCGAGTGTTGAAAAAGGTTCGAGAGCTATGAAATAAAGGCTACAGTCCTAACTTCATAATGTGTTTTGAAATTTTACTGAGTGAGTGCGAGTTATATTAATTCATCACTTATAATGAAAAACTCCTACAGAAATTATTAAATTATATAGCAATGAAATTTTGCAAGTTTTTATACGGTCGTTTTGTGCGATTTATAATGAATATTTTTTGGATGCATTTTATGCAGAGTTTTGGTTAAAGGGAAAAAACTTTTAAGTCAAATTTAATACAGAAGTGACATAAAATCTGATTTTAGAAAAAAACTGACACAGTCCATATTATAATCAATGTACATCTCATGCACAAAATTTTCTGAACGAGTACGTTTATTCATAATTGCACTATGCATTTATCCATGTTGATGTATTATCAGACTTTTATCTTTCATCATCATTTTCCTCAAATAAATGAAATTTCCAAAATAAGTTTTCAGCTACATAATTATTTGAATGAACATTTAATTTCAATGTAAAGAACTAAATCTAATTTTTATATTTCATTAAAGCTTAAATATTCAATATTTTTAATTTATACTTAGAAAATACTCTTGTTAAGTATAATTACATGAATTAAAAGATACTTACACGATGGTTATCCAGTTTAAAATAACTATATGTTTTATAGCTGCATTCAGTACAAGAATGCAGATCAACATCTATTGTATGCTCTTTCCAAAGATGCATAGCAAGTCCCCTCCAATGATGAAATTCATCATGGCATTCACGACACATAAATGATTTTACATTTTCCGAATGGCAAGTATAATGATAGTGTAAATTAGCTTCTGAACTAAACCTATGGCCACATCCACTTCGAGTACACCTATGAAAATCAAAAATTAAAATTTCAATTAATAACTTACTTACATTCATTCTAATAACTAAATCATTTTATCTCTGTATCTTAACATAATTGAGTTTTTAAATCTTATATGATAAACATTATACTCACATTAAAGATTTACAAAAGAGAAAAATACTTGAGATAACAATGTTAAATACCAATGATGTTTTTTAATTGTAAGCATGGCAATTAACATTTCTTCAACCACTGTTACCCACCTTGTTATATTTTGATTTTTAACTGACTTCTGTTACACATCTTCATCTTTAATTGTTATATTTTGATTTATTAAAATTTCACAAACAGCAAGAGGCAGTGGTTTGAAATAAGATCAGTAAGAACAAATAAAGACTGAATTTAGAAATTATTTAACTAGACATTTAGTTTATTTTTATCAATGTAGAAAATTTAAAAGGAAATCTAATTCAATAGTTAAGAGATCTGAGAACTTTTAAAACAAAATTTAAAAGGACTAAATATAAATAATAAATTCATAAATAATAAAAGAGTTATTTATGGCTCTTTTCAATATGTCAAATCATATTTTCCAATATTAAATTTCAAGGCTCTTTTACTTGAACGAATACACAGAATGTCCATTAATTATTACTAGCTTCAAATATTCTCTCTAAATTAACTGAGATATTTAGATGCGGTCTATTTCATATTAAAAAAATTCAAACGTTTTATCTTTCATCATTATTTTTCTATGAAAACAAATGAAAAGTATGAAAATAAAAAATTCACATAAAAAGATACAGCACGTCTTGGTTTGAAGAAACCATATTGACAGTCAAATCCACGCAAACATAATATGCCATTTTGAGCTCAGAAGCAGAATGTTTTGCACTGCTCTGCAAAAGTGAGATAAATCACAGCGACAATAATTTTTTTCAAGTAATTTGTATAATTTGTATTGAATTATAAAATTTCTTGAAACATTTATAATTTGCACTTAAAACAGTCCTACATATTTTTAAGAAAATTTGTAACTTTTATTTAAATTTTACTATCAGTCATGTACTTGCTCAGTCCAAAGGTTTATGCAGATTTTAAGTCTAGCGTAAGTTAAATTGAGAAGTAAAATAATAATCAGCATGGCTTATAACAGAAACTTGGCTGTTGCCTCTGCTTTCTTGCTTAGAGACAGAGAGCCACTGATCAGAACAGATGTGAATGCCTGACATTGTACCAGAAATTGATAGATTGTTTACTATTATTTCAAGTCTCATTAGATGTAAGGAATAAAGTTTTATGTTAATTTTTACATTTTTGTGTTGTATCTTTCATCTACAATAAGGATTAAGGAAAAGCAATAACTCATATAAAGATAACTTTTAAGGGTAAGCAGTCAGTTACAAATAATTAAATTATGTAGTTAGATATCCTTATTCATAATAAATTTACATGCTTACAATTACATTTTTTTTTAATTTCTAAAAAAATATCTAAGGTGGACAGAATTAAAACACCCCTTCTCTGAGCTTCCTAGACATTGAACTACTGAGAGTAAAAGGCTCCAAAATTGTTGAACATACTATTCAAGACAAGGGGAAACAGATCATGCTAGAAAAAAAAAAAGTTCCAGAAACACCAATAGATGGCGCTAACCGGATAACCGGAAATATGTTGCAAAGACACAAAATACATATTTTATTCGAATGTACCAAACATTCATATCACAAGGACCTTATCGATGCAGGTGAAGCTGCTCAATATGTTCCCTTCTTCAAGATGTAAAATCTGCAGTTTATGGACAGCTTGTTCAACTGCAGATCGTAATTGGTTGATTGAGACGCTTCTTGCATGCAGAGTGATACTGTCTTTCAAATCTGCCAAGGCTACCAGACATTCTCGATAAACAAGATTTTTTAAGTAATCCCACAGCCAAAAATCACGCATTAAGATTATATACCTCCTGGCAATCATGGTGCATGTCACATGGCCACTGCATATAGCCTTTTCGAAAAAGAAAGGTCCCAGAATAAATGTGGCTGTGATTCCACACCAGATGCAGCATTTCCTTTACTTTAGTAAATCAATTTCACAGACAAAGGACATACTGGAAGCATGACAGCAGTCACTGATAAGAATGCCATGTTCCCAGTTTTATTCCCTTTTATGCCCAGAACAGTAGCTGTGAACCAGGGTTTATGCAAATTTTTGTGCTTACAGTGTGAAATTGAAGTTACAATGACACTAAGTTCTTTCACTTTTTATCTCCCCACCCCCTTTTTTTTCATATCAGCAATAGAAATTAAAAAGAAAAATTCCATACTGCACGTACTTGTTTGTTTGTGCCTTTTCAGGATATTTTCTGTTGTATAGTGTATACCATCTATCGGTGTTTCTGGAACTAATTTGTTTTTTTTTTTTTTTTTTTTTTCTTTGGAATCCGTTTCCATATGTCTTGAATAGTAGTTCAATGTATAGAGAACTCAGAGTAGAGGTGTTTCATTCTGACCACCTTGTACACATTAAAAACTACATTATGTTTTGTAGCAATAACAAATGCAAATATTAAATGAGTCTTTTTTATTTGAAAATTTTCCAGATATTTTAGCTAATTTACATCAATTTCCTTCTCTTTAGCATCTTTTCTAAGTTAATTTGTTTCAATAAATAAAAAAATATTCCCATTAGCCTATGCTTCATCTCCTAATTTGTTAATTTTTCCAGATTATAACTCTGAAGAATAATTTTCTCTTTTATAAAATCAAGTTTCATCTTCATTTTAGATTTTTCTGATTTAATTCATAATGTTATTTTCTAAAGAACTTCTTGGACTTAGAATATATGAAGATAGAATATAGAATATATGAAGTGTTAATTTTGTATTTCTTTAATAATATGAATATTGAGAATAAATATGAAATGATATAAAGTCAGCACCAGTGTCAGAGCCAGTGTAGGTGGCAGCATTTTTAGAATTTAGTGAAGCACTGAGCAACAAAATCTAGGGATGGCAAAAATTTTTTATTTAGGCAGGTACTGAGGTATGTATATGATGCACTGTGACATGCAAGATGAATCTTTCACTAAAATTTGGTTTTCAGTTTCTTTGCTTGCTTCAAGGTTTGTGTCTAATGGAAAGATAAGAAAATAAAGGAAAGATAAACATTTTAAGACTTCTGGGATCAAAAGAAGAAAATTCAAATAATTTTGTTTTCACTGTTCTTCCAAAAATTCAAAAGATAAATTCACCATAAATTTCCTAAGAACCATCTGCAAGAGTTTGTGGAAGATCAATATGCAACCACTCGAGAGCTTGCTATAGAGTTAAAAGTTAGTGCCTCATCCATTAGTCATGCTATGTATCGCATAAGCTTGACGTACAAGTTCAATCACTGGGTGCAACATAAGCTGACTCAAGCAGACAAGGACAGACATGTTCGGGCCTGCACTAATCTGCTCGATATCAATGCAAGGACAAAATTCTGGACCAGTTCATCACTTGTGATGAAAAGTGGATTTACTTCAATAACATGGGCTGAAAAGGGAGATGGTCTGTGCAGAGCGAGCTTGGCAGCAGCATTGCAAACCCAATCTGAGTAACAAAAAGATCATGTTTTCTATCTGGTGGGATTGCCATGGTATTATTCACCTACACCATATAGCCCCGACATCGTTCCTTTAGAGTTATACCTTTTTCACACCTGCAGCTACATCTTGCTGGTGCTATCTTCCATTCTGAATGGGACGTCCGAAATGAAGCAGATCTGTTTTTGGACTCATGGCCACCAAGTTTCTAGGCTGAAGGCAAAAAATCATAGATTTGGGTGGTGATTACTGCCAACACTAAAGGTATTACTTTAATTTTTGTTTTCATTTTTTCCTAACTTTATTAAGAACCTTTTTTTGGTGGAAAACTTTGATTACAACTCGATATAAAGCATATTTAATACATTTATATAACAGAAAATACCGAGTTTGTGGTTAATGTCAAAAGAATATTTAATACAGCAGATTATGTGGTAAAATAAAGATGAAAAATTAAATATTCATCATTTGACTAATAAATATAAAGCAACTCATTAAAAATGTAATGCAGAAAATGTTGGTTTTTTAAACTTTATGAAAAAATAACAAATAGAATGAATACAAATATTGCAGGTTTAGTTTGATTTAGTAGATTATGGCAAAGTACACTAGGGCTATCTGTCTAAGGGAAGGGATGCCTTTGCAGACGATATCCTAAAGGAAACTGGCTCGTATACACGTTATACATGGTGGAAAATCACGAAAACGCCCACACAGCCAGCCAGTTCACCTTGGAATCAAAGCCAAGTTGGAACTAGCAGTGTTCAGCAGTTTCATCACTCGGCCGCTGGTGGGCCCAAATATTGTAGGACGTCATTTATCTGAACTAACCACACTGCAGATATTTTGGACACCACTTTTATTCAACAAACTTTAAAATTATTATTTTAAACTTACTTTTTATTTAAATAAAAATAAAAAAAATTACTTCAGTACTTAAAAGGATTTTTATGACAGCACTTATTGGCCCATCCTTATTTTATCACAATATACATTCTTTTCAATCCTCATTTAATTCAGAATGCATGTTACAATAAATGCATAATAGAATTAAAATGTTTAAAAATTTTTTATTTAAAATGCTTCATAATCTAGAAATCAGAGGTGAATAACCTTGAAATAAAGCATGATGCCTGGTTGCTAATATTGACATATGCTCAAAAGTACAGTGGTACCTCAGTGTATGTCTGCTTTGAAATACATCCTCCAATTTGATACATGTCCTGTAAGGACACATAAGTTTTCGTTTGATATGCAATATTTGTTTGGAATAAGACTTGAGCTTGATGAGTCATGACTGCCCACAATGCATGTTGCTACTATTCAGTAAACAACTTGTGCTATAAGTCTGGATTTTCAAATGATGTATTTTTCACAAAGTTTTTTATGTGAAAAATACATCACTTTATGTGGCACATAAAGTGTTGTAAATTCAATAACAATGAGATTTAGGAAAGTTAATGAGACAAGTCAAGCAACAAAGAAAATTCTTGGGATCACCATGGAAATGAAAAAAGTAATTCCTAAAAAGTATGACGACGATATATATATCAGGATTTGGCTATTGCCTACGGTATGCCAAGAACAGCAGTGAATATTATTGAGAAAAACAACGATGCTATTTCTTCAGCTAGAGTAACAAAGGGGGTAAAACTGATTACTAAATAAAGGTCAGATGCATTAGAGCATATTGAAAAACTGCTTTTAATCTGGATAGCAGAAAAACATCTGTGTACAATATGTATTTCATTCACTGCATTTATATTTTAGTATTAAACAGAGTTATAATAATAACAATATGATTTTTTATATGAAGGGATTAATTATTTTTCCTCATTTGGTATACGTCCAAGGATCTGGAATGGATTAATGACATATATTGAGGTACCACTGTATTTAATTTTGCACTATTTGAAATAATTTTTAAAATATGCTTTTTTTATGAAAGTTAAAAACATTTTGGAGTTTCAAAACCTTAAGACACTAATGAACTAAATAGGAAGCAAAATGTCAGACACTAATGGGAGAACATACTGGAAGGCTTGGCGTTTTTAGATTATGTAAAGAAAATATGATACTATTGAGAGAAATTTCATATACAAGAAGAAAACAGCAATTAAAAGCACTAAAACTAATGCTTATCTCTAAAAGCAAATTTCATATTAATTACATTAGGAATGGATGTTTCTTAAAATAACATATATTACTGAAAATTACCTGAATATTTTGTCAGTAATGCATTCTCTGCGAATTTTTCTTTTGACACCATAATCATAATCTTCTTCTAAATTCTTTGGTGGACGGCATTGCCTTTTGTTTTCTCTTGTTCCTGAGGCATCAGCATTGCCATCTGATTGATTAATAGTATCAGCGTAAGGACGAGTTCTTGGACGACCCCGTTTTCTAACAGATTTGGCATTATTTTGTTCAAGTTTTAAGTTATGATCCTAAAAAAATATTTTTAATTCAATTAAACACTGAATCAAAAATCATTCTGAAAATAAGAAAAACAAATAATTCAGCTTTTAAAAACAACACCTGTTAAAATTTTTAAAAAATAAAAAAAATACATATAAAATATTAAAACACATATACTAGCTATATGTAAACTATTTCTTCATTTAACTGATCCACAAAACAGAAGAAAATATTTTAGATGTCTGTGCAACTCTTATGGCTACTTATAAACTATTATTTCAGAATGTATATGATTTTTTTTTTTTTTTTTTTTCTAAAATAGATATTCTCCTAAATTTTCTTATTTTCCACTTATTTTTTTTAATGTTTTATTGTAATGTTGGACATTTATTGGTTCAGCATTCATCGAAATTGACAGTCAAATAAATTGATCATTTAGCTGTTTCATCACTAAGAATGTTACTCAGGATGTTTCACGGCAAGTGACCTATACTGAATCCACAAAGAAAATACACAACAACTAAGCCTGTCTAGACCATGCATTTGATTTCAGGTTAGAAGTCAGCCTCCACTAACCATCTTAACATCCAATCAAGAATCTTACCAATCCAATCAAGGCAGTAAAATCTTCTAAACTACACAGAATGATTATGAAATATTATTGCAAAAACAAATAACCTAAATGTGTATAAATAAAAATGCATTTATGTAAATGAATTGGAACATTACATTATTGCAAAATATATAGGATTTTATTCTCATTTCATTCAAATAAGATTTCATTGAAACTGAATATGAAAACTATATGTTTGATCAAAGTAAAAAGATGCCTTCTTAGATGACATTTTAAAGGAAACTGAATATTACTTTATACATAATACAAGCCTAAAAAAAATCTATATAACCAGCCCGTTAAGCCACTAAAATATAACCAAAGATGAAACAATATTGCTTTGTAGCTTTAGCCATACAATAGCTGGTAAGTTTTTGACAATGTGAAATTTACATATTTTATTACAATGTGCATTTTACATCATTTTTTGTCAATGGATAATAATTTTTACTTTTCTCTTTTATGCAGAGGGATGCAAATTTTTAAGTTTGATGAGCTTCGCAGAGCTAACTTTCGCCAATATTTAATGCATTGAAGAGTTCAAAAACTTTTCAAGGACAGTAAACGTTTCTAAACATTCTCACTAATTTACAAAAAGAAGGGGCAAGAGAACCTCTATTCTCAAATAGCATACCAACGATGTTCACATTCAAAGCTGCTCTCTGTTTTTTCTTTAAAGTAATACATATTTGCATCTGACAATGCATTCACTTCATAAATATGAGATTATAAAGAACTGAAAGGCAGGATGCCTTGCATTTGCTCTTATTACATCAACTATAATATCTCTGTGAGATTACGGTGTAGAAACCTATATAATCTCTTCATCCTTAGAATACTGTCATTTTTATCATCAGACTGGCCTCACATGAATAATCTTGACTATTACATGAACAACCTTGACTATCAACAGAGTTTGTAAAATGAGTTGTGCTGCCACTAGTCTCAGAATGGCACTTGTTCCGTAAGAAGGTCCCTCACATATTGCAATCTAAAAGCTGACCTCAAACAACACTGTTAAGAAGTACAAGGCAGCATGCTCTGAAACTACAGAAGGAATAAATTTTCAATAAGGGCTCTACTTGACTAATAGTAGATAGTGGTCACGAAATCATAATTTCATGACCACTATCTTAAGATTTCAACCTTCCAGCACGCCCACTTGACAATTTTATATGAACACACGCGCGTCATATTTTTTACAACATCCGTTATTTTACCGTTTTTTGCACGACAAACGACAGAAATGAGTAAATATTGATAATAAAATATTAATCTTATTATTGCAAAATACAAATGATATCACATTCAAATATAAGAAAATTATTTTTAAGTTCTTATGTTAGTGAGATGGAAATGCAATGATGTATGAGGCGTATTCGAAAACTAAGTACCGTTTTGTAAAAAAAAAAATAGTAAAACAATTTTTTCGAATCCAATTTTATTTTTACATGAAAATACATGTCTTAAACTATTTTTCAACATAGTTTCCGCCAATGATCAAACACTTGTCATAGCGGGTGACCAGTTTTTGTATACCATCGTCAAAGACACTTCCCGCCAGTTTCGATAACCACGACTCCACAGCATTTTTCGTGTCATCGTCAGATCCAAAACGCTTGCCACCAAGCTCGCACCTTCATGTGCAGGAACAAGTGATAGTCGGACGGCGCCAAGTCTGGGCTGTACGGCGGGTGATCGAACTGCCCCCAATGAAACTGTCGAATTAACGATTCAGTGACACCAGCAGTATGGGGCCGAGCATTGTTCCTTTACTGAGACTCCGACAATTCCTTTACTGAGCATTCTTCTTCATTTGTTTTGAATGGCACGCCTTAGTTTTGTTAAAGTCTCACAATATTGTGCCGCATTAATGGTTTCTCCTCTGGGAAGAAATTCAGTAAGCAAAATGCCTTTCGTATCCCAGAAGACAGTGCACGTGATTTTTTGTGATGACATTGTCACTTTGAACTTTTGTTTTTTCGGAGAATGAGTGTGTCTCCATTCCATCGATTGTTGTTTCGATTCTGGAGTGAAATGACACACCCAAGTTTCATCACCTGTCACAATTTGGTTTAAAATGTTTTCTCGTTCATCACTGTACCGCATGAGAAATGTCAGGGCACTACCAAGTCGCTTTGTTTTGTGAACATCAGTGAGCATTTTTGGAACCCATCGGGAACACAGTTTGCGATAATTCAAGCGGTCAGACACAATTTCGAAAAAAACAGCACGTGAAATTTGTGGAAATGCCTCTGAAAGAGTTGTCATTGTGAAGCGTCTGTTCTCATGAATTGTTTCATCAACTTTCCTTACCAAATCATCGGTGACAACAGAAGGCCGACCACTCCGAGCCTTGGCGTGGACATTTGTTCGACCTGCATTAAACATTCTTACCCACTTTCTCACCATTCCATCATTTATCGTGTATTCACCGTAAACTTCTGTCACTTGACGATAAATTTCGGCCGGTTTAACATTCCTCGCATTCAAAAATTTAATCACGGCACGAATCTCACAGTCAGCAGGAGAACTAATTGTCTTAAACATTTTGAATGTGCACAGCAAGCTGAAAACACAACATAGAGCAACCAAAATGGCAACAATTGAAAGTCAGTGAACAAGAAAGACTAGTGCGCATGGGCGGGACGCCTACCACAGCGCTGCGACGGCGCTAGAATGAAACGGTACTTAGTTTCCAAATACGCTACGTATTTCATTATAGAACATTTTAAATTTATTACTTGATAATTATATTTTAAAATCGAAGCTAATTTTAATATTCATTCAAAGGCAAGTATAGACAAATAAAAAAGGAAAACACCTTGGTAGGAAAAAAAGTAAGTTTAGCATTAACTACTTCTGCAAGGAAATTTACTTCTTACTAGTTACAAAAATGCACTTTAAACTAACTTTAATATTTTTATTTCTAAAAAATAGAAATAAAAGAAAATAAGGAATGGAAATCGCTATTGTTCCCATCCAAAGGTTTCCTTGTCTTCCTTTTCTTCATCAGATAATTCTTGAAGAATGTGAGCAAAATCAGCTAGTTTAGTTGCACATATTTTTTTTTTTTTTCCATGAAAACTGATATAAAATTTATACAGCGAAATGAATTCAAATTCAAATAATACAAAGCACTTAATAAAAAAAATTACAAAATATTTGAGAAAAAAATATTTTCCGAATTTTTCCGAACTGCCCAGTACTTGCTGTTAGCAAGAACTCTGTCTTTAAACACAAAGACAATTAACATTTACCTTAAAAAACAACTGTCTAACTCCTTCCTACTGCTATGCATGTAGTATATGATTGTTAATTTGATGATATTTACATAATATTATTATTGATTATTAAGCTTTTTGCAGGTTATTAATAAATATGTTAAGGATTAAATACTGTAAATGAGCTATAATATGCAATCCAAGCAATACATAACCAAACCATCAGTTTCTCTAATGGAGTCTGCCCGTATTCTTAAAAATAAATTACTAGATAAAAGCTACCATAATAAATAGTACACAAAGTTCAAAAATTCTTTTTTACATCTCAGAGGAGTGAGGAAGTCATTTGGAATCACTCACTCCTTGGCTGCCCACACATTCATCTGTACATCATGAAGCCATATTAAAGCATGAATCTACCATTAAAATAATGGTCATTTGCTAATGACATAAAAATACTCAAATGTTACGAGACTCAATGCAGTTTCTTAGACATACATATCTTTAGAATTCAAGATTAAATCAAGTCTTGATGCACTATTCAGGACCAAACAAACCAGAATATCAATCTGAAGTTGTCTGCACCAATTCAGATGAACAGGATTATTAGAAAAAAAAAAAAGAATAGGATGCAGATCAACATGACTTTATTGGAACAGTACAGAAGAAGAAACCAATGTAAACTATTTATAGACATATCAAGATTTCAGGAATATAAATAAATTAAGATAAATTTATATTATTGCAAGTACTTAGAACAAACAAAAGTTTTCAGCATGAACTCCTTCATGCATCCCTGTCATGGCTTTTGAGTTTTTATTTCTATTTCTTAAAACTCTATCATATAGTGAAAACAAACTGCCTAAAAAATTCAATCATCAAAATACTTCAGTTTGACACTGCTATCCTTGAAATATGCTTCCATCTCACAGTCCAATGATAAACAAGGATGAATGATTATAACTCCATAAGAAATCAAAATTAAGTTTAACAAATATGCATACAAATTACTTGCTTTACAATTGAATGATGTAATATTTTAATCCAATATTTCAGCAAAGAATAATTTTGACTACTTATTTTAAGGTTCAATGATCTACTTTCTCAAAAAAGATAACTTTGGACACTGATTTATATGGTTTAGCTCTGTTAATTAATAACTTCATTATTTAATATAAAATGTAAAAATCACTTGCATCAATCATATGTTGCTTACAGTCTTCGAGAGAAGCAAACCCGTCACTGCACTGACCACATAAAAATATATGTCGTTCCACAACTGGTGCATCTGTTACAGCATGTTTCCCATTTGATTCTACTTCAAGACCATCATATAATTTGTTTATTTCTTTTTCCTTTTTCACATTAACTTCAGAATCATTACAAGATTCCTCTTCCAGTTCATCTTCTATCTTTGGTAGACTATTACAACTTTCATCTTGCAAAGACAGCTCTTCTTTTTGTTTATCATTGCTAGACGAAACTGATAAAAATAAAAACATTATTAACACAGAATTAAAAATAATACATGTTAATAAAAATAAATGCAATATACATAATACATTTGGCATTTACCATAAGAAGCAAAGAACAAACATCAGAATTTTAAAATGCTCTTAGTTACAGCTAAATAATATAACCTCTGATTCTCTGATAAGTTATGGATCTCAATTTCATACAGCAAATCCCCCCTTATCATTTTCTTAATTAAAATTGCAAAATTTTCAACTCCTTTAAAATCATGCTTACAAAGACAAAAACCAGATTATCTCCACATTATTAATATCCTAAAAAGAAAAAAAAAAAAGAACTCGTATAGTTGACTCACAACTTGACTCCAATTACACAAAAATTCATTAGAAAATGAACACCTCTTTAATTAGTCATTATTCTCTAAACTTAATTTGATCAGCAATTATCACCTGAACTCAACTCGTTCTACTTTAATAAATTATATTAAAATAAGTATCACATAAAATATACATTAACAGCATTGAATATAAAATTCTCTTCCCTTTTTTTAATAACTTCAGAATGTTACATCATTTGCTGCATGAAAGAGATACATGCTAAGCCAAAAGTCAGACTTGGAATAGCATTGATTTTATAAACTTTAGATCTTTAAGGGACAAGTGATTACCAGATACAAAAGTATCAACAGAATACTTTTGATCCTTGATTTATGCTCGAATCTCTTGAAACAAACAATCTAAAGTTGATTTTTGCTTGATTTCATTATTTTCTGCATTTTGCATATTGGTATATATTATCAGTGTGCTTAAGATATATTTTTCATGATCATCTGTCAGTAACTGATGCAATTTTGATAAAATTTGTATTTTTAATCAGACATGCTTGATGTGGTATATAATTATTAGATAGTTGTTTATTTATTACACTTTACGAAAGCATTTCATGATTTAATTTATACTTTATAAAGTTTAGAAAAATTAAATATTTAACATTCACTGAGACAGAATAAATTTGCATCTGAATTCCCTCAATATCAGCATAAATATATAAAAATTAAAATTTTCTTAATTTCTTTGCATGGCCATACTTTATACGTGAAATCCAAGTAGATTAGAAGCAGTTATTTAATATAAATTAAATGACTGTATCTACTGTACTCTCAGTTGAAATGAATACTCCAGATTATATTGAGCACCTGTTGTATGCAAGATCACAAAATTAACCTCAATCAAACCAAATGGACAAAATCATACTACAAACTGCACTTACTTATATACACTGGTTTCTAAAAGTTGAGCATGCGACAGTTAAATCAACAAAAAATGGATAACACCATTTTTCACATAAAGGCAGGAATATATGAAAGGAAACAAGCATTATGTACAAAGATGGTAACAATTTTTAATTTTTGTACATTATACAATAACATCACATTTGGATGATTAACAAATTTATGATTAAAGCTAAAAAGAAACAAACAAAATTTTCTTTAATAAGGAATGTACTAACCACCCTCAATTTTTAAACAAACTTTACAACCATTCCTCCATGAAGGCAGTTTCCAACTCTCTAAGATTACCTGAAAGAGGTAAACATATAGAGAAAGCATGCCCAAGAGCATTCTAAAGATTCTTCAGTGTAATTCAAATTGGGAAATGCGGTAGTCACTCTATACAAGCAACATCCTTGCTCTTCAGCATACTCTTTAACAATGTTGGCTCAATGGGGACAGGCATTATTGTCCATAATGAGGAACTCAGGACCAATTTCTGCAGCATAAGGTCTCACAATGGGTGAGAACTTCATTCTGATATAGTGCATGTCACACAACCTTGACAACATTACTTGCCTCTCTCGATTGGGAATTTTGTTAAACACAAACACTTAGTAATCCAGGTTAAAATAACACACCAAACAAATATTAATTTAGAAGCCAAACAACAAAAATCAGCATTATATTTGTAAATTTTCATAGGACTAGTTTCGATGGTTTTACTGAACCACCATCCTCAGCTGTTAAAGTGCAAATGAACCAGATACATTCAGCATTTTTTTATTATTTTCTGGGTACTTAGCCACAACAATGACTTACAATGGTAGATTTGTATTTTTCTGGCCCTACAATGGTAGATTTGTATTTTTCTGGTAGTCTTCAAATGAAAATTCTTATATCAATACTGTTTACTTTTTAAGACCTAATATTAACTTCCTTCACTTCCCTTTTAATCATATTAAGCACATAATACTTTTATGAATACAGTAGTTTATCTGAAATTTTGATGAGAATTTATGCTATACAATTTAAGTTTTAAAAATAATGGTAGTGCGAGAGGGGTTTTTTAATGTATTGTCTGGTATTTAACATAAAATTTTCTTAAATATTTTTAGACATTCCAGAGTTATCAAATGTAAATTATCATTATTTTTTTTATACGTTAATAAATAATTTTCTGGATGTTCATGCATAACCATTAAAATTGCAAATTTAAACCTAGAAGTTGCTAATTTAAATATGAAATTCTGTACATAAAAAAGTACACTCAATATTTATTTAAATGATTGTATGATGTTCAAAGCTTAATTTATGCTAATGGTTTAAATCAAATAAGAATGATTTCAAGAAAGTTTCTGTATTAAAGATAAGAAACTTTGACAAACATCATTGTTTACAATAAACATATTAAATCACATTAAAAAAATTCTTATTACAAATTATAAATTAAAGTGTGACAACTGAGTAAGTTCAATAATTAACTAATAATGTCTGCATTTTTGACACTGAGTGTTAAAAACAATTACAAAAAATTTAAAAACTGTGATGATGGAAAATAAAAGTTGAGTTAATTTAAATGGCTATACCTGATGCAGACTTTAGTACAAAGATTTTTAAGCACATACATTTTTTTACACAAGTATAAAATCATGCAAATGAAAATTAATATTATTTATACACACACATATTGATTCCTTTACTTATTACTTTCAAGCAGTTTAACTTCAGAATTAGCTGCCATAAAGTTACTTTGATTTGGGGGTTAAACTTATGCTCAAAAGGAGTTTCAGTGTTAAACCCAAATCCTAAAGAATGAATCAATTTGATTCATATTTTACTTAAGCACTACTCTTCTAAAAAAAGAGAGAGAGAGAGTGTGTAAGAGATAATGTTGCAAAGATATAACTATTAATAATACTTTCTTAAATTCCAGTTTCACAGAGTACAATTAAATAAACTGGATATAAACTTTAATGCTCATTCCTAAAATTTAATTCAAAAGTATGTTAATCATACCTTTGAATAAAGTTCTTAGTTCAAGATACATAAAAGAATATACATTAAATATTCATTAAATATAAAAAACTATATACATTATGATATTTTTACTTTTTGGAGAGAAGAACGCAACTTTCTGCAATCAGTGTTACAAATATACTTCAAAATCTCATACTTCTTATTTCTAAAACTAACCAATATTCTTAACAACCATGCACTTTTTATCTTTTCAGCAATTTTTAAGTATTATTAAAATATCTTTATATTCGAAATCATACATTTAATAATAAATGGAAGATGTAAAATAATAATGACAAAATTTTCTATTATAAATAATATCCATCAATACAGTCAAAAGTCGTTAATTCGGACACCCATAATCCGGAATGATCTATAATCCGGACCTCAAAGCTAAAAACTTTCTGCGCATGCGCTGCGTTGACACATGCGCATAGGCGTTTATGCGTGCGCGTAAGTGCGCAAGTGCAGAATACGTTTTCACGTGCGCGTTTAACGTATAACGGACGGTATAAGCTAAAATTATACAATTATCTATTTCAGTTAATGTTGATGCTTGCGTTATTCCTTAATCTTCGAATTGGATGCAGCTTATTATATTTTTTGCAGACTGTAAGAGCAATTTTATAAAAGTAAACTTGAACTTTTGATTATGTCAATTTTCCGATTCTGGAGCTCTCAAAGGATCTACAAAACGAAAGTATGTCTCGATGTCCGTCAAAAAAAAAGTGGAATTGCTGCAAAAAATGGATAAGACATGAAGAAGGTGACAGAAAGGTTAGTGAAAACGAAAAAATTTCGATTGACAAGTTAGTCGGTATTCTCGGCACAGCAATTACGGGACTTGAACAAGCGGAAGCTTTTTAACTGAACAAGGAAATTATGTCTGTTTATAGAATTAAAGAGAGAAAGTATATCACATAAAAAACGAAGCAACTGAACAATTTACATTGAAAGAAATGTTTAATAAAGTAAACAAATAATATTAAGCTTTTTTTGTAAATTTTGATACCCTTTAGATCATAATTGTTCTTTATTTCCTAAAATACAGTTTCATATTTTTAATTTTAGAATTTGTGCATGCCATCTTACGAGATTTAAACTGATGATCTATAATCCGGAATCGCCGAAGTCCCGACGAGTCCGGATTAACGACTTTTGACTGTACATGAAATATTATGATTTCTCCAAATGAAGAATATGGCAGTATCTAATCCCTTTACCTTTCACCAGAAGAGTATTATTTCAATTTCTTATGTTTGTGAAAAATATATACATTTTCCAACTGCAGAAATTCATAAAAATTCTGTTATTTTGCATAGTGGATTGGGCTAAATGCACCAATTTCTTCTTCCTCATAAAAAAAGATCTTACCTCAACTTTTTTTAAAAAAAATCTTTAAGAAAACACACTTATTATTAAAAGATACAGACCATTGTCCTTCTACTAGGAATTACTACATCAATTGCAAATATTAGTATCACACTTTTACTCAAATAAGAGCTGAGTGAAAAGAAGAGTGAACATAATTTCAACATGTGCTATACTGTTAATGTCCTATTTATAAAATCATTACACAACTAATAAGAAGAATTCTTATTAGTTGTGTAATGATTTACACTTAAAGTAAATAACTTCTATCTATACTGAAACAACAAAGTGAGAAACTAAGAATGAAGAACTTAAGTTCATTTTCCTCATATTATGCTCTTTTATTTTATTTTAAAAGAGGAAAAAGTGCAAGTCAGACTGCTCCTAAAATTTATGCTAAAGTGCTGTTTCTGACGACAGTTTAAAGGTGGTTTGAGTATTTAAAGCCATTGAAAATGACGATCTATTAAAAGAAGTTACTGCTGAAAATCCAGGTTATACAGTTTAGGATTTATCTAATAAACTAAATATTCCAAGAAGTGCAGCACATGATCAATTGTACTTTTCATATAATTTTTCAAATTGAACGAAATATGTGTATCAGTGAGAAGTTAATAGTGTTTTGATTATTACTTATAATCACAGGGACATAGCCTGAATTTATATCAAGGCACAGTGCTGAACACCAAATGTTTCAAGAAATAATATATTAACAAATGAAAATTAGAATTACATGTATTGGAAAGTTGAATATTGTTTTTGCCTATTAATATGTTGCTAAACATTGCATAATATGAAAATAATTTAATGCATTTAATCAATATTGTAAATTCCTCAGATTTAAGGTCTGATTTAAGGTTTTTTTTAGTCCAAAGGGGCTTTGTCACTGAAGGACTATTCTTTCTTTTTGCGATTTTGCGTTGGTTCACTATAAATGTCCGTTTCACTTTTCAAACTGTTGCCACCAAATGTTAAGTTGAATTTTAATAAGAAGTTATATTAAGGGTTCTATACTTGTTTTTGCCCATGCTTCCTTTTCACAATTGCTTGAAGATCAGCCCGCATACTTTCCAAAATTCGAAACATATACTTAAACTAGATTTAGATGACTTGTTAACATATTTTATAAATTAAACAATAAAAGGTGTAGAAACATTGATAAATACCAAAACTGCAAAAGAAGTAATCTTTTATGTTCATACACTAGAAACTAAATACTTAACAGATAAATAAAAGGTTGACTGCATATATTACCTAATAATTGTAATAAAACTATTTTAGACCTCATTGTTTGTTTCCATGTTAATTTTTTGGCATATTTTATCCAAGAAGACAGCTCAATTATAAACAGTAAATAATCAGAAAAATAATTAGCATTTGTGGGTTATGCAGGATTAGGAGCTACAATCAACATTCAAAATGTCAATCACTTGCCAATAAACATTTGCCTTCCTTTTAACAACTGCATCCTTAACCTTCTGCATGTAGCACAAGAAGAATATGTTTTCTTCTAACATCTCTATTAGGCAGTGGCCTATAGATGAATTTGAAACTTTTTACAGTAGATGAAGGTTATCTTGTTAAATAAGTTTTTCCCCCTGCTTTGAAAGCTATATTGAAAGCAATAATTAGACAGTATCCACTGGAATTATCCTTTTTAAAAAGTCATCTAATACAGCTCTCATGTCCAAATAACCCACAAGAACCAGATAACTATAAATTTCATGAACCCATAATTATACTTAAAAATGTATCACAAATGATGTAAAATACAGGACATTCCAACAGCTTAAATCAAGAAGAGCAATATTAAAAGTTTAGAATGAATTCTGCAGATTTAGTTACCGGATTTATCTTTCTCAGCTTTAAGGGTCACAATGCATTTCTTCTCATTGATATGGCAACATCTGATATGAGACATTAGTCCAGATTTCCAAGCACAAGAAAATCGGCAGAACTTGCACTTATATGTAGTGACGACATCCATGAAATCTTCCAACCGGGTAATAGTACTTATGGGTTCAATATCACTATGAACATCAAGTAAATCCTGATCCAAGGAATTTTCCTGCATAACTGATGACTTTCCTTCAGATAAGCTGTCACTTTCTTGTATTTGCAGGAAGTCTGGAGTGTGTTCATGTTCTTTTATTTCAGATGGAAAATGCACAGCATATACAGCAGGTGGCTCTTCTAAATAAATAGTTATATCATTTTTTTTTTTACATATATAACAGGTATATAATTTCTTCAGTTATATAATTAAAATCTTAATATAGGAGAATAAAATTAATTTTACATTCATATTTTAAAATATATATGCAAAAATTATGCCTACATTCATTATAAACTTTAAAAAATAACAATGTTACAAAATCCTTCATAAATATAAAACATGCAATAATACATTTCCCCCACCTTAATTCCTCATAAGAACCTTACAGACTAAAATCTACCTTCTATATCTGAAAAACAAAACTTGTGCAGTTTACTATCTTACTCTATAAACACCTTTATTATACCTAACCTACAGCCAGTGCCAGATTTACATATAAGCTGCACAAGCCATAGCTTACGGCCTCCACTTTCTTGAGGCAACCCCCAAAAATTGTACCATATCCCATATAAAAAAATAGACTTCTATTTCTCCTAAAGGACTCTATATCTAAAATAGCTTAACATCTCATCAAATCTAAATCTGTGATAAGTTGCTGTATACCAGCTTACTGCAACCATACTAGAGAGACTTAAAGTAAATAACTTCTATCTATACTGAAACAACAAAGTGAGAAACTAAGAATGAAGAACTTAAAAAGTTAATTTTCCTCATATTATGCTCTTTTATTTTATTTTAAAAGAGGAAAAAGTGCAAGTCAGACAGCTCCTAAAATTTATGTTAAAGTGCTGTTTCTGACGACAGTTTAAAGGTGGTTTGAGTATTTAAAGCCACAAAATTTACAGACTTTTGAAATTTTAGCCTTGCAGTGATGCCTGCTTTGGACAATCAGCCTTTGAAAATGACGATCTATTAAAAGAAGTTATTGCTGAAAATCCAGGTTATACAGTTTAGGATTTATCTAATAAACTAAATATTCCAAGAAGTGCAGCACATGATCAATTGTACTTTTCACATAATTTTTCAAATTGAACGAAATATGTGTATCAGTGAGAAGTTAATAGTGTTTTGATTATTACTTATAATCACAGGGACATAGCCTGAATTTATATCAAGGCACGGTGCTGAACACCAAATGCTTCAAGAAATAATATATTAACAAATGAAAATTAGAATTACATGTATTGGAAAGTTGAATATTATTTTTGCCTATTAATATATTGCTAAACATTGCATAATATGAAAATAATTTAATGCATTTAATCAATATTGTAAATTCCTCAGATTTAAGGTCTGATTTAAGGTTTTTTTTTTAGTCTAAAGGAGCTTTGTCACTGAAGGACTATTGCTTTCTTTTTGCCATTTTGCGTTGGTTCACTATAAATGTCCGTTTCACTTTTCAAACTGTTGCCACCTAATGTTAGAGCCCTGCATTATATTTGAAGAACTTAAATAATGAAAAATCTGCATAAATGTATGTACATTTCTTGCATTGTGATAAAACAACAGTACATAGAGCCATCAAATTTTGAATGACGTAATCCTACTGCGAATATGGGCATGTGGAAACCCAAATTTGATATTTGGAATTCGTTTTATTATAGAATTCATATTTTGTAAAACTTTAACAAATTTTTGATTAACAAACTTAGGGATTTCAAAGGGAGCAATGGCAACGTTATACAGAAAAAACATTTTTAGCTCCAGCGCGCGAGACTCTGTATTAGAAATTCTAAAGATATGCTCAGTTTAAAACTATTTCGCAATATTGCTCTTGAACTGAATTTTATGGTTTAAATGCGAAGAACGCGATATTTAATAGATAAAGGTAACAGACAAAATGTTAAAAAATGCCCCTTTGGGACGTAATTTAAAATTTGAAACCTTCCAGATTTTTATTTTTTTAAATTCATATCAGTAGTCCGCCAAATATCTTTATTACGTGCGACTTAAGTGTCTTTTTGTTGCCGATATTTTTTTGGTTGCTTGTGTAACTGTACTAGCCAATGGGGTGAAGTTATCATGGCATTCAAATAGTCCATATACACTGATACCATACATGCAGTTATTGTTTTAATTAAATTATAATGGTATTTAAAAACATTTAAATATTTTTAATTCATATAACTGTTGCTTATTATGCATTTAACTATATTTACATATGAATTACCTAGAAACTTGAAAATGTGAGACATTAAAGGAGACAAAACCAACTAACAAGTTGTGCATAGTACATCTCGTTAGGTACATTTACCAAAACTCTTATGTTAAATATCCTTTCGCGTAAAGAGTTTAAAATTCTGCCCAATTTTATTCCGACATTGTATTTTAAACTGAATTTTCAGCTGAACATAAATTGAGCATGTCAGGGGGAACATGAACATTTGTTTGCATTAGCAATCATCTATTTTTGAAATGGTTTACAACTGAATGCAATAGTTCGTGAGTTCCTGTTCAAGAGTTCATGAAAGAACAGACATAAAATTAAAAATAATTGATGATCCTCTGCAAAGAGAGCTTAAAAATGATGGAAAGATCTACACAAGAAATGTTGTGTACAAAGAAATCTTTGACATCTGAATTAACATTTTATTATTTAAATCACCTTTATTTATTGAGCTAGCGGTGGCTCTTAAGAAATGTACCACCAGTGGTTTCCTTCATTGCACTCTACTTTAAGCAGTTAAGCAAGTAGAAGGGAGAAACCCCCTGGGGCAGTAAGCAAAAGGGCATCCTTGCCACCTGCCCTGGGTAATTCAGTTTGAATTAGCACTTTTGCACAAATCATTTTAATTAAAATTTATAATATCTAGAACAGCAGTCATTTTGTATAACCGTCAGGCTTTCTAGTATCATAATAACCGAGGTGATGAGAATACCAAAATAAAGATTTTTTAACAATTCATGAAGCCCTATAATTCATTCAGTCTCACTTAAGAGTCATTCAAAGTACTGTGAATTAAGACCTAAGTCTTCAAAAGATTTCCAATATAAAAATCTTATTGTTTGATGGAAGAACACACACATTTGAATTAATTACATTTTAGGCAGTGCTATGAAATGCTCAAGTATGTAATATAAAAATGCAAAATATTTCAAAATTAGCTTTTACCATTAATATTATCCACATCGATGCAATCAGTATCTTTATCAGATATGATATCACAGTTTTCAGATGTAATTGTTTCTTCTAAAGGTTGATTATTTATTTCTGAACTTTCTTGAAGATGTTGTGAAACAATAAATGTAACTGGCAATGCCTCACCATCTGCAGTGGTCAAAGTAGCAGTAGTACAACCATCAGGAAGAATGATTCTTTTATCATCAAGGCATATCGCATCAACATATTCTATGGACTGTGATAAAGAAACATCTCTTTCAATATTCTCCATGTAGCAGTTAAAGGTGCAACAAGACCTTCCCAAGTCTAAAAACAATAACAGTGATATTTAATATTAGATTTAAAAAATTAGAAAACATTACATCACTTAGCTTAACAATGATTACTGAATATTTTAGAAACAAATACACCAGCAACTTAAAATACTTTTTTGCTCAAAAGCAGAGAACAGCTGTGCTGCTGAGCTGTAGATGTAGAGACACAGTTATTATTCATAAACTTCAATTGCAAGGAAAATTAAAGAATTCATTTCCTGATTTTTCAAAAATTTTTAAAAAAAAAAATTATTCATAAATATGGGTTAGAGTAGACCTATTTTCACTAGTAGAAAAAAAAAAAAAAAAAAAAAAAAAAAATTTGCACACATTAGGCATTGTGAACTCTCTTTTTTATCCATGTACACATCGACTTATTTTCACTAGGAAGGGTACACCTTGTATTATCGTGAAGTTGTTTCTTCATTTGTCCCCAAGTTGTTTCGTTTATCGCCAAATTGTTGTTTTATTTATGGTAACCTTAGTAGTTGAATGTTATGGAAACCCTAGTAGTTGAATGTTATGGAAACCCTATTATGATGTAATCGGTTGTATGATTCCTGTAAATTTTATTTTATGGGATGTTTTGTAAGGGCCTGTGCTGTGTGTTGGATAGGAAGTACATTGCTTGTTTTGCTGTTTACACAATGGACTGGCTGAATGTAGTAAGATTAATTTGAAGTTTCTGTATGATTTGGAATGAAAGGGGAAAAGAGCATTAATTGACTGGGGTGTAAATGAAGGTTTACTTAGTAGCCATTTTCCGAACAGTAGTTCCGGACAATCCAGAACTACAGAGGATACTTTTGACACTTATTTTTGTGAATTCATGTCCATGTCATGATGCCTATTTACAGGTTCAAGTTCAGATAAGTTTAGGAAGTTTATGGATGCTGTTAAGGAATTTTGTGTGCCACAGACTGGTGATGAAGATATTTCTAAATAAGGTAAGTGAATATTTGCTTTGTGTATTAGATGCATAAGAGGTTTCCCTTTTTTATGTTATTGTTTGGTTTAAAATGTAGTTTACTGAGATTATGTATTTTTTATTTGTCTCTATTGTAGAATTGATTGCTCCTTTGACTTTTTAAGTGAAAATATATTGATATGTACATGGACAAAGTCAAGGGAGCATGCAATGCCAAGTTTGTGCAATTCTCTGAATTTTTTTTTTAAAGTGAAACTAGGTCCACGTGTACATGGATCAAGTCAAGGGAGTTCGCAATGCGTAGTTTAAGAAATTCTGTGATTTTTTTTCCCCAAGTGAAAGTAGTTCAATGTGTACATGAATATCGAGTTTGTGCAATTCTTCGACTTGTAATTTTGTCTTTGTGTAGTGGTGATTTTTGGCGCTAAAATTGCCGCTACACAAAGACAAAATAACAAGTCAAAGAATTGCACAAACTTGGTATCCATGCACCGCCAAAAATCGCCAAGGGGTACCCACAAATATACTTTTACCTAAATACATACTAAATTATTTAAACAATATGAAAACACTTCCAAGCTCAAAAGAAAAAGAATACATAATTTTATGAAAGCAGTCATATAAAGATTCCTCACACTTTTAACATTTACTGCTTAGTTTGTTAAACTACTGTTAACTATTTAAGGTAAAAGCATATTTACAGGTACCCCTAGGCGAAAATTGGCGATTTTTGGTGGTACATGGACACCAGATTTGTGCAATTCTTTGACTTGTTATTTTGGCTTATGTTGCGGCAATTTTAGTGCCAAAAATCGCCACTACACAAATACAAAAATAACAAGTCAAAGAATTGCACAAACTCGGTATCCATGTGCACATTGACCTATTTTCACTTAAAAAAAAAACACAGAATTGCACACATTAGGCATTGCGAACTCTCTTTTTTATCCATGTACACATCAACTTATTTTCACTTAAAAAAATATGAGAATTGCACAAACTAGGTATTGCATACTTCCTCGACTTTGTCCATGTACACATCGAACTATACAGTCAAAAGTCGTTAATTCGGACACCCATAATCCGGAATGATCTATAATCCGGACTTCAAAGCTACAAACTTTCTGCGCATGCGTCAAGACCTTTACAGCTGCAGATATGCGTGTGCGCATGCGCAAAATATGGTTACGAATGCGAGTTTAATGTATAACGGACGGTATAAGCTAAGCTAAAATTATCTAATTCAGTTAATGTTGCAGATTGCGTTGTTCCTTAATCTTCGAATTGGATCCGGCTTATTATTTTTTGCAGACTGTTAGAGCAATTTTATAAAAGTAAGCTTGAACTTTCGATTATGTCAAATAGAATTTCTGATACATATTTACTAATATGTTTTAAGGATCTACAAAGTGAAAGTATGTTTCTAAGTCCATTAAACAAAAAGTGGAATTGCTGCAAAAAATAGATAAAGGATAATGGATTTGTTTATCTAACCATTCCGAAATCTGTTTATCAATTTCACGCTGCTCTGCGTGTAGGGGGGGGGGACTTCGCAGCGCGCAATGAACTTGAAGTTGATCTGTCAGCACTATCCTTATCTTCAGGGCAGATGTTTTTATTTTATTTGGCTTATAATTCCTTACTAAATGTAGTAGTTCATCTCGATGTACTCCGTCTTTGATATGATTTAAATCAAATTCCTCGTCATTATAATTCGCTTCCAATAGTGAAGAAAGTGACACAGAGGTTATTGAAGACGAAAAAATTTCGACTGACAAATTAGTCGGTATTCTCGACACAGCAATTATAGGACTTGAACAGCGGAACTTTGTAACTGAACAAGAAATTATGTCTATTTATAGAATTAAAGAGAAAGTATTATCACATAAAACGAAGCAACTTACATTGAAAGAAATGTTTAATAAAGTAAACAAATAAATATTAAGCTTTTTTTTTTTTTTTTTTTTTTTTTTTTGTAAATTTTGATACTTTTTGATCATAATTGTTCTTTATTTCATAAATTACGGTTTGATATTTTTAATTTTATAATTTCTGCATGCCATCTTACCAGATTTAAACTGATGATCTATAATGCGGAAAAATCGATAATCCGGAATCGCCGAAGTCCCGACGAGTCCGGATTAACAACTTTTGACTGTATTATATAAGTCAAAAAAGCAGTCAACAAAAAAATATATATAATCTCAATAAAATACATTTTAAATCAAACAATGAAATATATAAAAAAAGGAAATTCATCTTTGCACTATACAAAGGAAATATCCACTTACCTTATTTATGAATTAACTTGTCTCAGTCAAACAAAATTCCTTCATAGCATCCAAAAACTTCCTAAAATTATCTGATCTAGAATCTGTATACTGGCGTCACCACATAAATTCACAAAATAAAAGTTTAAAGTATCCTCCATAGCAATGTATTGTCCATCTAATACGCATTTCCTTTCTACAAACAGGACACTTAATAATGGCTACTAAGTAAACTTTCATTTACACACCAGTCAAGTAACGTTCTTTTTCCTTTTCTTTCCAAATCGTACAGAAACTTAAAATTAATCTTACCACATTCAGCCATTTTACCTTCTAAACCATAAAACAAGCAATGTACTTCCTAACCAACAACACATGACAAGTCGTTACAAATTCACCGCAATAATGCACCCGACTACGTCATAATAGGGTTTCCATAACATTCAACTACTCAGGCTACTAAAAATAAACCACCACTTGGGGATAAATGAAACAATTATGCGATAATGCAAGGGATACCCTTCTCTGTACTCTAACCACTCTGTTTAATTGCACAGTTATTGATTTGCCATTTTTTTTTTTTTCTTTCTTTCTTTCCTCTGCAAGAAGAGGATGTTAAATTAGCCCTGAAATCAATAGAATTTTAATAAAAATTTACATCAATCTAAGCTTACATTTTTTTTGCTTAATTTTAATTCACTATAATTATTATTAAACCACAGCTAAAAACAAAGATTTTAGAAAAGGTTTTGGTTAGAGTTGACTTTAGGGTAACCCTTATATTATCGCAAAATTGTTGTTTTATTTATCGCCAAGTTGTTGTCTCATTTATGACAGCCTTAGTAGTTGAATGCTATGGAAACCCTATTATGACGTCATTGGTTGTGGTGAATTTGAATCGTGGGAAAACATTTAGAAAGTGTGTGCCGGATTTTGGGTAAGGGCTTGTGTGTGATGGATTAGTATGTTGTTATTTTGTGGTTTACATGATAAGTTGGTTGATTGTGGTAAGATTAATTTGAAGTTTCTGTAGGACTTGGAACAAATGTTGAAAAAAGCATTAATTCACTGGTGTGTAAATGAAGGTTTACTTAGTAGCCATTATTTGTTTGAAGGAAGGAATGTCCTGTTTGAAGGAAGGAAATGCCTATTGTCGAACATCGGATATTTTTTACTCTTTTTTTTTTTTTTTTTTTTTTTTTTTTTTTTTGTGAATTTATGTGGCTACACCAATATACAGATTCTAGTTCAGATAATTTTAGGAAGTGTTTGGATGCTGTTAAGGAATTGGGTTTGCTGAAGATGCGTAAATTCGTAAATAAGGTAAGTGGATATTTCCTTCCGTGTAGTGCTAAGATTAATTTCTTTCTTTATGTTATTTTATTGTTTGATTTAAAATGCAGTTTATTCAGATTATATATTTTTTTGTTGGCTGCTAATTTGACTTTTTAAGTGAATATAGTTCGATGTGTACATGGACAAAGGGAGTGCACAAAGCCTAGTTTGCAAAATTCTCTGATTTTTTTAAGTGAAAATAGGTCAATGTGTACATGGGTAAAGTCAAGAGAGTGTGCAATTCCATTTTTGGGCGATTCTGGGATGTTTTTTTACGTGAAAATAGGTCGATGTGTACGTGGTTACCGAGTTTGTGCAATTCTTTCTCTTGTTATTTTGGCTTTGTGTAGCGGCAATTTTTGTCCCAAAAATCACTGCTACGCAAGCCAAATTAACAAGTCAAAGAATTGCACAAACTCTGTATCCATGTACCACCAAAAATCGCCTAGTTTCGCCAAGGGATACCCTAAAACATACTTTTACCAAGGTTTCCTTTGAGGCATTAAAAAAAACAATCATTAATCAATGTAATAGAAACTTATTTTTATTTTCCTTTAAAATTTTTTCTTACGTTATTTTATATGCAGCCCACTACAGTATCTAAAAACTCATTCTCAAATGCATCAAAATAAAAAGACAATCTTTCCTTTTAATGATACAAAAATAAAAGATTATTTCAGTTTTGGGCAAAACAATACTGCAACTGTTCATGCTTTGTAAAGATTTTTTTATTTCTCACTAAAAAGCCCAAGATCAAAGATATCCAAATTTCATAATGTCATAAAGCTACACAGAAAGGGAAGCACTGCAAATTTCCTAATGATAGCTTTCTAAATACAACAAAATTATTTTAATATTTAACAATCATTATTAACTATATTATTAAGCAGAATTCATAGACAAAAAAGAAAAATTTTCAATTTACTTAATTTTACATTAAATAATAGTAACAAATCATCATTATTTATTTATAATAGTTAAAAAAAGATCCATTACAAAAGGTTTGTTGCACTAATATATCCCAAATGCATTTCTTCTCCTTACACAGAAATTACATTTGAGTAATAGAAATTACATTTGAGTAATTTCTGTGTAAGGAGAAGAAATGTTTTGTACAGTTTCAACTACAGTTTCTTAAATACCAAATTACCACAATCTACAAAATAATATAAATGTAACCATTTTAATATCTTTTATTTTAAAAAATTCAAAATGTAATCTGCAAAGGAAAAAAAAAAAATATTATACATTTTTTTATTATTTCAAATATTATACAACTTTTAGAATATTCATGATGAATTAAAAACATTAAGCCAGACATTTTATAATTAAATATTAGACCAGGCAAACCAAGTTAAGTAAATAACACACAATTGCAGGGGGGGAAACAACTGGAATGAAATTGCATATTAGAATATTACCTTGAAAGAAAAAAGTACACTGATTTGATTATGAATGTATTACAGCCTGCTTTTGATCAATCAGCACAGTATACCAATGAATTATTTATTACCACTACATGTTATTCAGCTCTTTCGCTGAAAACTTCATGGATTTCAGATATGTAATTAAATTTTCTTCTGCGGAACAGGAAGTCAGCTTTCATGATAAGAAATTTTTCCATGCAATTTAAAGTCAATTAGGAAAGAAAGAAAACAGAAATATCGCATCTCTAAATAACAAAGTAAAGAATAAGGAAAGAACAGTCTCAATAGATTTAGAACAACTGGGCAACATCGCAAAATACAAGATGCACAAAGCTGGGACGGCATTTTTTTCTCAATACAGGACCGAAATAAAACTAGAAATTAAAAAAAAAAATTTAAGCTATGAAGATGTATTCACTTAGTATTTAAAATTTAAAACATAGGGGCCAATTTGAAAAGATTTAAAACAGAATAGTTTTAAAGCCACAGTGAAACTTTCATTTAATATCAATGCGAACAGTCACAACAGAGCTCCTAGAATAGTACACGAAAAGTATGATAAAGATTACTGTTCTTTTGTAATGGCGGTTAACAAACTGAAATTGCTATCTACAAATACTTGGGTATGCAGTATTACACAAAGTAATACATCTATTCAAAATAGCACTCTCGCAAATCACTCGCACACCGCTGAATGAAACAGAAACTTCGTGTGAATAATCTAGTTTCGAGGCTACTTTGCGAAGATTTTCATGTATAGGCTTGGAGATTATTACAAGTTTAATTTCTCTGAAGATACGCATACAAACTAATGTTATAAAATAATACAAAAAAGTCCTGCATATTTATCAATATACAGCTCACAGTATAAAAATATGAAGAAAACAAGAATTACTTTTTTAAAACAAGCCGTTCAATTTCGTCGATTAGCGGCAATCTCGACCTACTACCACAACGTTTCTAACCACCATTAACTTGCATTTGACGTCAAAAGCGACGCAGCTTGTTGCCAGTTTCTGAAAAAGATATTTTTAATTCTGAAAAATAAATTTTTACTCTAATTTTTGAAAACAACAATGACCAGCAACTGAAACAACGAACATTTCGTTATGAAAACAAGAGAGATTTAATCATAATCATCATGGGTGAATCTTTACATTATGGTAACTTGGCGATTTTCTGGCGAAAATTTCGCGACCAACCCTGCTACAGCAACCTGCTAGTTTTGTTTTGGACGCCATTTTGTTTTCACGAAGTAAAGGCATGTTTTTTTTTTTTTTTTTTTTTTTTTTTTTACTCAAAATTTTTTCCAACAATCTGCTAGTCGAATTACGCTTATACTAGAACTTTTATTGGTACATCTGCTATAGACTCCATCGTAAACAACGCACGTGCGGAGATTGTTGTCACTAGATGACGGGACCACCTTTTTTCCTCTTCTTCTCTTGCGGAATGTATCTCATTACGACGAAGATTATGTGCGAAATTGAGAGTGCCTGCTTGCCGAGTTTTTAATAATTGCACTTACACGGTATCCATGTACACGTCGACCTATTTTCTCTTAAAAAAACATCCCAGAATTGCAAAAAATGGCATTGCGCACACTTTTGACTTTATCTATGTACACATCGACCTATTTTCACTTAAAAAGTCAAAGAAAATTGACAAAAATCCAATTTTTCTTACTCTTGTAAAAAGCGCCAAACAAATAAGTGGGCGATCCTGCACTTTAGCAACGAAATTGTTTCTAAGTGCATATTAGCTAAAATCACGATCAGAATTTTCCGGAAAATGTCACATTACATGTCTCAATCTCTCATTTCTCTAAGACAAAATAATCTGTGATCCGAACTGTGTACTCAGATTATTGTTAAAGTCCTAGCTAGTAACCTTTATCGCCTTACCAAAATGTCGCCAAACTACCTGTTACCATATTCTAAAGATTAACCTCATCATGAAAATAAGAGAGGTTAGTTACTTTTTTATTAGTTTAGTTTCAATTGATCGTAACTTAATAAGTGATGGTGAAAATCATTAATTCTATACTTCTCAATTTGTGGTCCGCAGACTTCAAGTAGATCTCAAAACCTCAAATTGCGGTTCATGGAGGTTAAAATGCTGAGGTCCTCTTAGATTGCCAGAAAAGATCTTTAAAAAATTCAAATTAAGTGTGTATACTCCACTAATATACCCCACTGTGTATATTCTCAGCTGAAAAATGTCAGAGTGAAATTTACATATGGCAAACATCTACCATATTTTGTGAAATTTATAACCTATGGATTTCCCACTCTAGTCTTAGCAACAAAAGAAAGATTTAAAACACTTCGACTTCTTACCGCTGTGCAGTGGCGTAGCAAGCATAACTGGTGCCCGGGGCAAAACACCTTCGTGGTGCCCCCCCACACACACAAAAAAAAAACAACTTTCAGTAATATAATATATAGAATATATTCGTAATAAGAAAATAATGCAAATAATAATAAAATGCTGAATCTGCCATAAAATACTAAAAAATATATTAAGAACAGTCACTACCTAACTACACTAGGCTTGGATTCGGAAATGCATCTGTGTCGGCGGAAAAATCAGACATACGATGATATAGAATTAGTTAAAAAGGCGTTATTTATTTTACATATTTATATACGTGTTTTTAAAAGGTACAGTTTTTAAACAATTAAAAGTTTAATATACACTACAGATAAATAGATAAGAAACAACTTGCCTACTACAACTCAACTCTGCCAGTCTGGTAACCCATAGCAAACCAAAAAAAAATAATATTTATTCTGTTCAATTGTTATAATTATTTAACTATCTGTCTAAAAAAATTGTACTTCCATAATTGGTGACCCGTATTTACTACGAATAGCAACCTTCAATGCTGCACGAATATGGAGTTTATATGTAAAAACTCTGAGCAGCAGTAAGTTATCCATTGTGATGAGATGCAAGTAAGACATTTCACCTGACATTTCAAGCGTTGTGCCGCATTACGGTGAGTCAACATATTTCTGTCACAATTTCAGCGTATATATGTATCGTCTCCTGCATTTGAGCCGCCAATTTCTCTGATTTCAAGTACCAAGAAACTGTATCACTATATACATATTGATTATTTTTCTATACATAATTTTATTGTGCATATTCTATACATATTATTATTGTACATATCCTATACATATTATTATTGTGCATATTTGATTGATCTAAAGTGTTTGACAACGATGCTACTTCACAATTGGCACGAGTGGCAGTTAAGCCACCGCCTTTTTGTCGTAGAGACCCATCGTTATGGTTCATTCAATTGGATGCGCGTTGAGTCACATTACTGCCGACGAAACTTAATTTTATACAGCGATCGTTGCGTTAAGAGGTTATCACATATGGCTACAGTCCCTGCTAGACGGGACTTTTTTGAGAAACGAGATTCTGGTAGCACTGGTTTAAATGGGAGGATTCCTAGAAAAAAGAGTCCCGCTGGAAGCGAAGTCCCGCCTAGCTACGGAAAAATGTTGCGTCTATGCGGGATTTTTCAAACCTCACCGAAAATGTCTCGGCTGGACGAGTATTTCCAAACCCTACCCCACTTTTCGAATTTTTGACGTCATGGACAAATCGACTAGTTTCGCCTGGATGGTAATTCTTGAGCATGCGCTGAAGGGCGAGAAGTAACATAAACAGAACTTTGGCTTGCACTTGTAAACAGTATTAAATATATTGTCTGAAAGTGTATTCGTTTATGTAATTGCATAATTTTACTGTTTCTGTAATAAGAAAACTTCATTCAGATAAAATTTATTTTAACATTATTATTATTATCTGGTTATAGGATTATACGAAATGCTGAATACTCTAGGTCAGTGCTCCGCAACCTTTTCTCACCTGCGACGCACAAAAAATCTTTCTGGAATTTCGTGGCACACCAAAGAGTTTCGAGTTATCAAGGAAGTGCCGAAAAAATTCAAATGCTGACACACTTACAATCACACACACACAACTACACAACAGTGAAATATATAAAAACATTTAAAATAGACATTATTAAGGAAAAAATTGTCATTGTGTATTAAATACATGATAAAAAATTGCAAAATGTCAAATACATGTATTTGATTGCGGCACACCTATATCCTACTCATGGCAGTGTGCCGCGGCACACCGGTTGCGGAGCATTGCTCTAGGTACTATCGTAATCTTCGCATAACCTTTCACATTGGATTTTGCCTTATCATTTTAAAATATATTGTATTATAAAGATTAAAGCAAATTACTTTGTTAGACATGTGAATGTTCTAACTGAATTTTCTTTTTATCACTTATTATTTATTTCCTCTTTGAAAACACATTCATAGTTGACAAATAATTATCTCCGCTGAAAATTTTTTGATTGTTTAAAAACTATATTTGTCAATAATGTAATAAAAACTCACTATCTAGTGCTTCATAGATCAATATGACAACGAATTCAAAATGTTTTAAAAACAGTTCTTTAATCTTTATTTTGTAGTAGATGCAACTAATGTCACAGAGAAAAAATATTTCAATAAAAAAGTTCCCCATGTTAATTCAATAGCAAAATTATTTCTATTTCAGTGAGAAATCCACTTTCAATGCTTATATAACAGAAAAATGTAACATAAGCATTGTTCAGTAGTGATTAAGAGTTGCCGACAGGAGGCGCTGCTAGTGCGTTATACTCTCGACCTACTTAATCTTGAATTGAGTATTCTTTTTATTCTGTGTAACTTGCTGGTTAACAGATCTTACAGCTGTTGTGACTGAGAATTTAAAATGTTTAGGGAGCCAGATCGCTCCTCTACAGCATACATGAAATGGTCAATTATATGAATATTATATAATAAAGTAAATATCTTTTTGGTGATAATCTTTGTTATTAAAATATAAAGTCAACCAGCTCCTGAAGTACAGTTCAAATGGTCCGTCGAGAATCGAAGGTGAGCTCTCCCATTTTAATTCTCTATTTAAATTTGAAGAGTATAAATGTTATAAATATGGAAGCTCTAAAACTAGAAAAAGAGTGTTAAAAAGTTCACTGACGAGGCATAAAGATAAAGTTGTTTCGTCATTTGATGTTTCAGATTCAGTTGCGTTGCAGCTATTTGAAACCAAAACTAATGAAATTTCTAACGAACTTAAATCTGTATTTTATTCAATTATCGAAACATGTAAACCCGAAGAATTGGATAACTTTATTAAGGATAAAGAAGATACAGATGATATTGTTGATGAGTTGCTATTGATGATTAAACGTAACTTAGCAGTAGTAAAAAAATAAGATGAATTCTGAACACCCATTCTGTGGTGCTACTTTGGTAGACGGTTGCACGGATTTTTGGCGATTTACATCGGCGCAATTGTTGGCGCGATTTTTACAAACGTCAGCCATCTTGAAAAACGCTGTTTTTACGCATAGTAAAGTATTCGAAACTTAAAAAAAAAAAAAATAAATATCGTTAAAAGTAATGGATTAATTTTTTGTTGAAAATGTCGTTTTTTAAGATGGCAGGCAAGTGTAAATAAATACATTTACTATGAGTATAAAATACTAAAGTAAGGTTATTATTACTTTCATATAGCAAAGAGAATAAAAAACACCGCTATAAAAACATTTGGGCCAACGTTTAATTAGATTAAAATATTACTG